GCTCTTTTATTAAAATATTTATACCGTTTGTATAAATGGAACAGCGTTGTTGAGAATATAAAAAGAGTACTATAGCACACTGAGCTACATTCTTTCATGAAACTGCACAATTCACCCTTGTTGGAGCATTCTCCAAGAGTCACATGACCTAATTTGTGAGATTAAATGACCGTTTCTGGTTTTGACATTTCTTTCCTTTTCTTAACTCACTGTCCAGTGGCATCAACTGTAATTTGATTACTCCTTATAATCAAGGAATGTAAATGCTTTATGAACTATCAGTTTTAACACAACTACTCTGGTGGCCTACTGGTAAGAATCTTTGCTGCAATCCCAAAGGTACAAGGTTCAGATCTGGCAGTGGGAATCTCTGCAGGAAAAGGATGGACGATCTCCTCACGAGCAATTAACTGCCTCTCAGAGCTCACTGGAGGGTCAGTTATGGATCAGTTCTGACTTGATGATACTCAACAACAACTGACAAGTCGCTGCCTTTTGCCTCCCATAGTCAGTGTTGACCTTAATCAAATTTAGGAAAATCTTTGTAAGCTCTCAAATGCTGTAGTATTATAGCTGGACACATTGAAATTTTATAGCTGGACACATTGAAATTTGAAGAGAATCTTACCAGGCATTCTTGGGTTCGATTCCTGGCTCTAATTTGATGGCCTAGGCCAGAATGTCATCTCCTCTTTAAGCCTTGTTTTCCTTATTAGTAAAATAAGGACTAATGATTACACCATTGTAATATGAGGCTTAAATGATTGTTCATAGGCAAATAACTTTGCACTCAATAATTGTCATTTTTAAAACATTTGTAACCTCAGTAGAATTATTTTATTTTTATTTTTAGTCATATTGAATGAGTAGCAGTCATTTGATCACATTAACTGAGATACTTCTGGTATCTATTTGTACAAATCCATGGGATATAATGAAGTGAATGTATGTGTGCATACTAAAATAAAGACTAAAAATCTTTTAATAAATTAGATGTGTTATAGAAAAATAATTTTACACACACACACACACACATATACATATATAAGAGGTCTTGCATCTGTTCGATATCTTGAAATAGGTCTGAATTTAGAGTTCTAGGACTGTTGGGAGCTTTTGCAAAATTTTCACCCTGACATTTATCTGCATCAGAATATGGGGTGTACAGAAGTATTTTTAAATAAGTAGCCTGGGTAACATTGATATACTTCACTCTGTTCATAGTGGAGCATTTGTGAGGATGAAAATTTGCTTTTGAACATTTCTGTTTATGAAGGAAATATATATGTATCATGTGAAATTGTCATAAAACATTGCAGTAAGTGATGATACATATGTAGGCTAATTGCTGGGGGACTTGCTTTCGATTTTGAAAGAACAATAGGAATTTAAAAAGAGAAGAACAAAAGACATTCAAAGTAGATAGGGATGCTTGAGTGGACTACTTAATACACAGTGGTCTGGTCAATGTTGTACTTTGTTTGGTAGTTACTCTTGGATTTATAAGCAAGAACTGTGGGTGAATTACTTCTTCCTTGATTAATTTCAAACCATTTGTGTAATTCTAAGACTGTGACCCTTAGTTACCTTTTGAACCTGAAACAAAACTGAGAAGTACCTCAATTTTCTGCCAAACAATAAACATTCCTAGAACTTGACCAAACATCAAGAAGTTAACCACTTCTTAAAACAATCGAGTTAATAAAGGACAGCTTTTCCCTAGGGACAATGCTCAAAATGCAGGAAGAGGTAGGATAGAAGGATTAATGGCAGTGAGACTCACAGTGAAGTATGAAGAGTGCAAGTACCATTGTGGATGATAGATAGCGTTGTTGTTGTTATGTGCTGTTGAGTTGCTTGTATCTCATAGCGACCGTATGTACAATAGCTCTAACCCCTGCTCTGTCCTGTGCCAATCACACTGTCTCCAATCCACCCACCCCAATCACCTCAGTCACTAAATCAATCCACCTCATGATGTCCCTCTCTAAGGACCAGTCCCTCCTTACAACAAGTCCAAAGTATGTTAGATGGAGCCTCAGAATCCTTGCCTCCAAGGAACAGCCCGGCTTCACCCTCTCCAGGGTGAATCTGTTTGTTTTCCTAGCAGTCCATGGTACCCTCAATACTCTTTTCTAGTACCATAGCTCAAAGGCATTAATTCTCCTTCTATCCTCCTTGGTCATTGTCCAACTCTCTGATGCATAACAAGTGATTGCAAAGACCATGGCCTGCATCAGATGCACCTTAGTCTCCAGAGAGACACCATTGTTCTTCAGTACTTTGGAGAAGTCCCTAGCTGCAGACTTTCCCATTGCAATATGTCTTAATTTCCTGGCTGCTGGTGCCATAATTTCCTGGCTGCTGGTGCCAAGACTGTTGACTGTGGAGCCAAGCAAACTAAAGCTGTGTACAATCTCAATCTCTTCACCATCCATCCTGATGCTTCCAGTTGGTCCAGTAGTGAGAATCTTTGTCTTCTTGACATTGAGTCTCAATCCATATTGAAGGTTGCAGTCCTTGGGCCTCTGCAACAAGCACTTCAGGTCCTCCTCAGTTTCAGCAAGCAGTGTTGTGTCATCTGCATAACGCAGGTTGTTGATAGATATTCCACCAATCTTGACCCCACATTTCTCCTCATAGAGCTCAGCCTCCCGGATAATCTGTTCTGCGTACAGGTTGAAAGGGTATGGAGACAGGACACATCCCTGGCATACGCCCTTTCCAATTTTGAACTATGCAGTGTTTTCTTGCTCTGTTATGACAACTATCTCTTGGTCCAAGAATACATTTCACATTAGCACAATCAAGTGTTCTGGGATTCCCATTCTTCTCAGAGTCAGCCACAGTTTGCTATGATCCACACAGTCAAATGCCTTTGCATAGTCAATGAAATACAGATAGATAGTCCTCTGGATGATAGCATTAATGTCTATATATATGAATTATTGTGTGGAAACCTAATATACTGTGCAAACTTGCACTCATCATCATTTTTTTAGAGGAAATTTGAAATGTATTTAGTTCTTGAGGGAGCAAAAGTTGCACTTAAGATCTAGGTAAAAGAAAACTTAATGATGGGTGGGAGAGACACTGAGTCTTATTAGGATTGTGTTATTTTTAAAAACATTGCTGGCAAAGATCAAAAGTTTTGCTTGTATAAATAAAAATACAGTAAGTGAAACAATAGTACTTTGGTGTGGACTTTTATTTTCAAGGTTAATTATTTGTTTAAGTTTCAAAATCTACTAGCGAGACCCCTGACTAAAAATAAATTTCTCATAAATAAGATTCTAACAGTTCAAGAGTTGTGGGATAGAGTACCTTTCTTCAAGCATCATTAAGATATCATCCTTTAGGACTTTGAAATCTATCCCATTGTACCTTTATTTGTATTTATTTTTATTTTCAAGTATTTATGACTTACATCATCTTGTCTTTCCTATACAAATGAAAGTAGTTAGGGTTAAGAAAGGTAAAAAGTTGACTCAAGGTTCTATAAGTAGAAAAATTTAGAGCTATCATTTGTAGTGAAAGAATTGTGTATTCTGAAGTGATTAATTTTATAGAAATTATAAAAGACTAGGCTGAGATACCAAAGGTATCATAGTAGTCTACGGACTACTATGGAGGGATTGAATTTTTTTTTTTTTTTGGTGAAGGGATTGAAATTGTCAGGCAAGAGAAGATGATAGAAGATATATAAGGAGACACATGACAAAATATCATTGAAAATGGAATCCAGAATATGTGATTACTCAGTGTAGAGAAAGAACATGTGATTGAAGATTATTTTTGTGGTCAAGGTGTTTTGTTTCTTCTTCTATTTCAGAGATAGTTAATCTGGTAACTACAGCCTGAAACAAATAAGGGTTTGCTTAGATGGAAGTAAAATTATTTGTTTGGAGTGTGTTGACTTTAACAAAGCAGCGAGTCTTTGCCAGTTCTGCTCCAGTTCTACTTCGTGAGAGCTGACATGAAGGATCAGAATAAAGAAGTAGACAACTTTGTGACCTATTTATTTTTAAACATCTCACCTCAAGTATTTAGATGTTTGCTTTGGCTTGTCACATAAGCTATCAGTTAATATTATTTTTATTTCTTTATTTGCTGCCTTATGGTCATCATTTATTTAGTATGTCAATAACATCATTGTTGTAGTCCCTTGAGTTGGAACTGACCCATAGCTGACCCTCCAGTGGGTTTTTAGAGGCGGTAAATCTGACAGGAGGAGATTGCCCATCCTTCTACCAGAGTTGCTAGTGGATTTGAACTTCATGCCTTTGAGATTGCAGAATGATGAGTAATTCTATAATCTAGTGGAGCTCCGTGGCCCACTGGTAAGGAGCTGTGTTGCAACTCCAGAGGCATGCAGTTCAAATCCACTAGGTGCTTTGGTGGATAAGGATGGGCAGTCTCTTCCCATGAAATTTACTGCCTCTGAAAACCTGTTGAAGGGCCAGCTGTGAGTTGATTCTGACTCCACAGCACACAATAAGAAGCTAGGTATACAATTTTCTACCCATTCTGTTTAAACCTATCATCCATGTTGTTGTTGTTATGTATCATCGAGTCACAAACAAATCATAGCTGACCATCCAGTAGGTTTTCAGAGGCAGTAAATAGCACAGGAAGAAACTGCCCATCTTTGTCCCATGGAGTAGCTGGTGGATTCAAATTGCTTGCCTTTGGGTTGATAGTGCAACTTCTTGCCATTAAGCCAAATAGTAGAGAGTTAAGATCTGAATTTCTTTTTTCTGGCCCCATACTGTATCTCCATTGCTGGACTTATTGTCTGATACTGTTCATTCAGTATTAATTCTAACTTCAGTACTTGTAGGATGTACTTCGGCCCTCGCTGGTTAATATGAGGTAATGTGTACTGAGTCTCACTGAGCTGCATTTGATTCTTAGCATTCTTAGGGTGACTGTGCTGTTGGTTGTGATCTGAGAGCTGGATGTGAAGTACTGATTACCTTTACCTCTGATGGTCTCTACAGAAACGGCCTCTTTGGGAGCCAGGACCTGTGATGATGATCTTACAGAGCAGCAGTTGCGATTAACCTCAGGTAAATGGTCAATTCTTTCTCAAAACTTTTATGTTGGCCTAAATTAGTTACTCTTTTCATCATTTATATAATGAATATCTTTAGAACTGCTCTAAGTAAGTGAGATGCAAAATAAAATAGGTACAATATTTGAAGCATTTACAAATAACTGCTAGAGAACAAGTAACCTCTATATGGTAATTTCTTTATCTGCATGTATCCACTATGACGTTTCATTTACATGGTAAGTTTTATACAACGTCTACGTGAATAAGCCAGCAATTTTGTTTTCCTCAAGACAAACAACCTGGCTGATGGGGTTATTTTGGGAGACTTGTTGAGTTGATTTGACTGTATATAATCATGTCAACACATTCACCGACTTCTGCGGTTTGTGTATATATATGTGCATAGAACAAAATGGTTGTTACACTTTCTTAACTACATTATATTCAGATAATTTAAGAAGTCATTTACCCATGTTTCTACAAAACACCTCATTTATTTCTCCCTGTGAATATGACCTTAGATTCCAGATATATACACTTGGGATAAGAATGTGCTGTATAGGACAATATAGAAAAAGTTCTTTGTATCTATGATCATATACTGAAATGATTTTATAAAAGAAAAAAGAGAAATTTTGCAAGTGAAAAGACTCCTTTTACATAAAGTCAGGATTTCCCTCTTTTAAAAAAAACCCAAAATTTCAAAGTTAAATTTACTTTGACATATGTATTTCTCATGATTATTTTTTCACTTGGTATGTTACTTTTCTCTTTAAATATGAGAGATCTTAATGAAGATAGTTTCCTTTGTCAATATCAAGCCAATAAAAAGATTTGATTAATGGTTTAAATGAAAATAATATGTAAAAAATCAAGATTTATGACAAAAAATATCAAGCTAAAAGAGAGACTACTTAATCTCAATTTATGAATTTATTGTATTGTAAATGTTGTCATTTTTATGTGCCATCAAACTGGAACCAACTCACAGCTGACCCTCCACCAGGTTTTCAGTGGTTGTGAATCACACAGGAGAAGATTGCCCATCTTTTTCCCTTGAAACAGCTGATGGATTTGAACTCTTTGCCTTTAGTTGGCAGCTCTACTCCTTAGCCTCTAGGCCACCGGAGCTCCCTTGCATTATAGATAATGACTCCAACATTTACATGTTCTCTGCAGTTTCTCTGTGAAGCTTTAGGCTACTCCATGATTTCTGGATATTTTCTTCTGGAGATTCTAAGGAGATGTCAAACATCACTAATTCCAAAAGGAATGTCTCTTTTATGCAAATGTATTATTTCTCTTTTTTTCTTTGTTGATGACATTGTCCCCCAGACCTAGCCACCTAAGTAAGAAATCTAAAAGGATCCAGATTTTCTTAAATGTTTTCTCTTATCACTGTTGAGTCAGTTGTAACTCATAGCCACGTGAGAGGAGATGGCTCATCTTTCTCCTTTGGAGCCTTTTCTCCTTTGGTGTATTTGAAACAATCAGATAAGTATGACATTTGTGGTAGCAGCACAACTCCCTAGGGACTACCCCACCAGAACCCCTATGCTAAAGTGTGTGTTATTTGCCAAAGGCTTATAAGTGTACACCACAAATAATGAAATGAAATTCTTCTTTTCAAGACAACAGTTACAAGAAAATCAATATATACAACATTTGCAGATTGTAATAAATGTGATAATGGGGAATAAAGGAGTGGTGTACTAGAACTCTTTAATGACACTCATTGCTGTTGAGTCTGAACCAATCTGAAGATGACTCTCCATCAGATTTTCAGAGGCTGTAAATCACGTGGGAGAGATTACCCATCTTTTTTTTGCAGGTGTACTAGAACAGTGATTCTTGAAGCATCGTTCCAGCAGCATCAGCTTCAACTGGACACTTGTAACACAAAATTCTTGATTGTCACCCTAGACTACAGATTCTGAAACTCTGGAAATGAGGCTCAGAATCTTATGTTTTGACAAGTCCTTCAGGTAGTAGAGATTCCGAGGACTTCTCTCACAGGACACATGAAACAATACTTTAGATTGTTTAAATTGTAGCAGTGGCCACAATTTCTCAAAGGAAGTGGCACTTGAGTTAAGCCCCAAATAGTTAGGAGTCATTTATGGAGAGAGTCTGGGCAAACCTATTCTAGACAAAGATAGGAATAAGTCGCTAGTATTTCAAGAAGCGGAGGGAAGTAATAATGGAGAAAAGTTTGTAAATGAGGAACTCATCAGCTCAAGACATAATCAGAAGGGTAGGTTTAGTCATCAGCCATTGTAAGGAATTTGTATGTTTTTCTATGAGAAATTTTATACCACTCAAGCAGAAAAATGGTTTGGCCTATTTAATTTTGCAGAATAAATTGTAGAAGAGCAATAATATTTCTTAACTAGTGATGAAAACATTCTAGATAACCTATTAGGAATCCTGAAAATGGAAATGTAAAGAAGTAGATGGATTTATTGTTGTAGTTAAGTACTATTAAGTCTAGTATAACTCATAGCAGCCCTGAACAAGACACCTGAACCCTGTCTTATCCTGGGCCATCCTTGTGATCTCGGATATACTTGATCCCATAGCTGCAGCCACTGTGCCAATCTGTCTCATTGAGGGTTTTCATCAGTGGCTGACTCTTTACCTTTCCAAACATGATGTACCTTTTTCCAAGGAAAAGATTCTCTTAACCATATGAACAAAATATGTGAGGCAAAGCTTCCCTTTCCTTACCTCCAAGTAGCACTCTGTCTGCAGTTTCTCCAAGACATAGACATATGTGTTTATTCTTGGTTTTTTGTTTGTTTCTTTTTGTGTGACATCCACTCCTAAAATGGCTTGCCTCCAGAAACTCTATAAACATGGAGAAACCATCGAAGTTACACAAATGTTCAGGTCTTTCATTCTTAGGGTTGCTATGAGTCGTCTGTGACTCAACGGCATTTAGCAACATCAACAATATTACATTGGTCAAATATTCTGTAAAGGAGTCCCTTAAAAAGCCAAAGACCAAGTGTGACTTTTAGAACAAAACTAAGCCTCACCATGACCCATGCCACAGTATTTTCATTTACATTCTATGTGTCTATGAAACTGAACAATAAGTAAGAAAGAGCGATGGATAATTGATGTGTTTTAATTGTGGTGTTGGTGAAAAAATCTAATATACCACACTGGCAAAAGAGCAAACAAATCTAGATGAAGTATGTCAAGAATACTTGTTACAAGCAAGGAGGGCAAGACTCCATATCACATACTTAGGAGCATGTTATCAGTTGGTGCCACTTCCTAGAAAATGACATCATGCTTGGTAGAGTATAACGTCATCATTCAATAAGATGGACTGCTACACCAATGGGTCTGAGCACTGCATAGCAGGAATTGAAGTGAAAAAGTCTGAGGATTGGGCAGTGTTTTGTTTTGTTGTACACAGGATCACTAGGAGATGGAGTTGACTTGACAGTAACAAACAACAAATATTTCTGAACTAGAAATACTAAGACTTGCTGATGGATTGTATATATAAGAGAGGAAAAGGGAGGTATCAAGTGTCACCATTGGTGCCCTTTACAGAGACTTGGTTAGAAATAGAGTGAGGTGCATCCAGGTAGGGTTCAGATTTGGACGTATTGAGTTGATTATGCTTTCTAAGCATGCATATGGAGCTATAAATTTTTTTTAATCTTTTATCATGTAGTGTGATTGCTGGATGAAATGGCACTACTATTTTCAACTTTTTTAATTGAAATTTTAATGAAAGTTTATAGAGAACTTGGATTTCCATTCATTCATTCATTCATTGTTGCATATTTTCCTCCCTGCCTCCCACCCCACCCCCTGTTCGCTTTAATCTTTGGGAGGAAAAATTATTTCATTGTGGTACAATTCCCCACCCCCATCCTAGTCCAATTTATTTATTCTCAACTGTTATCAAATACTATTTAATCATATATTCCTTTTAAGCAGTTCTTTCCCTCATCTGTTTCCATGCAGTGTACATTATTTATCCCCTCTTTTCTTAGGTTTGCCCCAACCCAGGTATCAGTCCTGTTTTACAACAGTGGCATTATGCAGTATTTTTCATTTTGTGACTGAAATATTTCACTCAACATAATGTCCTCCAGGGACACTCATTTTATATAATATTTCATGAGTTCCTTGTTTTTCAGTGCTGCATAGTATTCCACTGTGTGAATATACCACAGCTTCTCTATTCATTCATTTGTTGATGGGCACTTGGGTTGTTTCCATCCCTTTGCTATTGTAAACAATTCAGCAGTAAATATGGGTGTGCATAAATCTACTTGGGTGGCAATTCTCATTTCTTTAAGGTCTATTCCCAAATAGTGGAATTGCTGGGTCAAATGGTATTTCTATTGGCAACTTTTTGAGAAAGCGCCATACCCATTTCCCACTCCCACCAACAGTGAATAAGGGTTCCAGTTTCTCCACAACCTCATCAGCATTTGTTGTTTGCTGCTCTGTAGAATTTTGCTATTGTTACTGGGGTAAGATGATATTTCATTTTTGTTTTGATTTGCATCTCTCTTAGAGCTAGGAATTTTGAACATTTCTTCATGTGTTTGTTTGTTCGCCATCTGAACGTCTTCTTCAGTGGGGTGTCTGTTCATATCCTGTGCCCATTTTTCAGTTGGGTTATTTACCTTTATCTTATTGTGGTGCTCAAGTATTCTGTAAATTCTAGATAGAACACCTTATCAGGAATGTCATTACCAAATATTTTTTTCAAGTCTGTGGCTTCCCTCTTTACCCGTTGGAGAAGTTTTTGGACGTGCATAGGGATTTTATCCTCTCCTGGTTGTACGTTTTTCAGGATGCTAGGGAAACTGTTCATGTTGTTGATTAGGGCTTCTAGAGTTCTTCTAAGCTTTTCTCTAATGAAGTTTATAGTCCTTGGTTTTAGTCCTAGGTCCTTGATCCACTTTGAGTTGGGTTTTGTGTATGGTATGAGATGTGGATCTTGCTTGAGTTTTCTGCAGATAGTTTTCTAATTTTGCC